TAAGTAGTGTCTAACAAGGAGGCTCTCGTTTCGGAATTCAAGCCACGATCTGAAAACAGTGTTCGATGATGACCTCATCGGGGCGAATCTGAACCCGGAAATCGTTGGGAACATGGATCTCGATAAGCGAAGAAAGGAAGAATGCATCATTGATGATAATGTAGCAATTGAAGGGTCCCATGGATCGAGAGGCTGAGATCGGCTGGACCCGGTGGGTTTTTTTCTCGCCTTAAGCAGAGTTGCAACACAACTTTGGTATCTGGGGAAGTGAAAGAGACTGGTTCGGTTATTCCAATGTCATGATATGATAATTTATGGTTCCACTGCTAGTACCATGATCGTATTTGACTGACTGCTGGAGGAAAGTGTTTCTGTGTGGGAAAATACTGGCCCAGACAAAGTATGTTTTAGCGTTGGGGTGGAGTCGGACAAGTGGTGGTAGTGGTGGTTTAGTTAAGTTGGTGATGGAGATAGCATAGCTTCTTCGACTTTGGCCGACCGCTTTTAGACGGAGGGAAGGTAAGGTGCTGTGTATCAACTTGCTTTGATGCGTGGAGAAGTTGTAACCTTGAATAAGCGCATTGGGAAGAAAAGAGTAGTAGTTAGTGTACTATGTTCCATTGATAGATAGAGATGTATCTGCCAAAAGAGAGGCAGCTGACTGACTGAACTGACTGAACTGACTCTTGTCACTCTCCGCTAAGCCCAATTCATGCGAATTCACGCCAATCCAACCCCGCCTCTTCTCTCCCTTTGCTTTCCCTTTTTTCCATTTTTTCCACTCCCTCTCTCCATCAAACTAATCAAAAATAATTATAATGAAATAGGATAAATAATTGCGGTGCTTGTGCTCGTAGTGTTTTTCAGCTAGTTGGTTTAGTAGTAGTAGTAGTGGTGGTGCTGGTCACAGCAAGCATCTCTTTCCCTCCCCTCTCATCTCTTCTCCTCTCCTCTCCTCTCTTTCTCCCCCTCACCATCAGCATCATCAGCATCATCATCGATCCTCCCGCACACCAGCCATACTCTCACCACCCACCCCCCGGTCCAAGCTATCATCCCACGAGATTCCCGCACTCCCCCGCGTTACATATTCTCCCTTCTTATCCGGACATCCTCACGGTCGCCCGTCTGTCCAATTGAGTTTCCGTTGACCGCCGTTCGGGACCAGTGTTCTGTTCTGTTTGGGGGCTCCGCTGTATCCGCGCCCGAACCCGTCCCAAGAGAAAAAGCTCGCCGCTTTCCCTCTCCATATTATTCTTACTGTGTTGCTTCCTTTCCCACCCCCCCCTCTCTGAGAGCATCTCTTAAAGAGGGGTCGCGTTGATCTGCTATCGCACGCATCCTTTTTCCTCCCTTTTTCCCACGTGGATAATACCATCGTGGGCTGCTCTATCATTTTAATTTTACTGCCCACAGCAGCGTGTTCTCCATGCCTAGTTTAGGAGGTTTGCTGAAGAAACGGCGAACGAAAGATTCGCAGACCCTCTCCAAAGAGCTTGAAGCCGGTTCGGCCCAGACGCAGACGTCACCAAACGCTGCCGAAGACCACCACAACCACAACCACCACCAACACCACCACCACCTCTTCCACCACCACCATCAACCCCAACCCGCCACCAATTCTGGCTCTGCAGCAAACACCCCCTCTCAGCCTCAAGATTCCGTGCCTCAACAGTCCAATCGGTCTTCGGGAGCAGAAAAATCCTCCGACGGTCAGGTAGCCTCCATGCAATCCGCTGTGACGCAAGCCTCGCCGTCTGCCCATCATACCTCTGGCCTCCCGCAGCCCAATGCCAATGCGGCTAGTATACAAAATATAATTAACCCCTCCCAGCAAGGCGCCATGCATTCGGCTTCCAGTGGTCAGACGCAATCTCACCATGCCGGTCGCAGTGATGCCCGCACCACCAAAGGGAAATACTCCTTGGATGACTTCAGCCTTCAGCGCACCCTGGGTACCGGTAGCTTCGGTCGCGTGCACTTGGTGCAGTCGAAGCACAACCATCGCTTCTACGCTGTCAAGGTGTTGAAGAAGGCGCAAGTGGTCAAGATGAAACAGATTGAGCACACCAACGATGAGCGCCGAATGCTGAATCGCGTCAGACATCCGTTCCTAATCACATTATGGGGTACATGGCAGGATTCCCGGAACTTGTACATGGTCATGGACTTCGTAGAGGGTGGTGAACTCTTCAGTCTGCTCCGCAAGTCACAGGTGGGTTATTCTGACTTGGCCCGCCCGACCAACGTAAAGCTGATGTCTGGTACCTCTTTTCATGTAGCGGTTCCCCAACCCCGTCGCCAAGTTCTATGCGGCGGAAGTCACTCTTGCCCTTGAGTACTTGCACACGCAGAACATCATCTACCGGGATCTCAAGCCCGAGAACTTGCTGCTAGACCGCCACGGCCATCTGAAGATCACCGATTTCGGTTTTGCCAAGGAGGTGCCTGACATCACATGGACCCTTTGTGGTACTCCCGATTATCTCGCCCCGGAGGTGGTTTCCTCTAAGGGTTATAACAAGTCGGTTGACTGGTAAGGGTTGCCATTATTGATGTTCATGTCCCTTTGGCGCAGGTTACTAATGATGCGAAAGGTGGTCTCTGGGGATTTTGATCTTCGAGATGCTGTGTGGTTTCACGCCTTTCTGGGACAGTGGCTCCCCAGTCAAGATCTACGAGAACATCCTGCGTGGCAGGGTAAAATACCCGCCCTACCTGCACCCGGATGCTGTTGATCTGCTGTCGCAACTGATCACGGCTGATCTGACCAAACGTCTTGGAAACCTCCATGGCGGTTCGGATGATGTCAAGAATCATCCTTGGTTTGCCGAGGTCACCTGGGACCGTTTGGCCCGCAAGGATATCGACGCTCCTTACGTGCCTCCTATCCGTGGTGGCCAAGGAGATGCGAGTCAGTATGACCGCTATCCGGAAGAAACTGAACAGTATGGCATGGCTGGTGAAGACCCGTATGTGCTATCTTTCCCATTTACTAATAACGCGTGGTGGGTCACATTACTGACGCTGCTTGCAGACACGGCCATTTGTTCCCAGACTTCTAGTGTTGTGCTATGAGTTATGATGGAATGATTGTCTCGCTACCGAGATGGCATCGTGTCATCCGATGATATTGCGAGCCCTGTAAGACAGGACTATCTCGCTAATCCTTACCCTCTGTGCTACCAAAGGTAGCACCACACCCATCATTCGTTGAGTTCCCCTTGACGTCGGTTTGTCTTCGTTATTTGATCGCTGGCCGACTTGCTTTTTTGGCTACCTTTGACGTAGAGCATATATCTAAGAGCTCTGTCATTCTCAGCGTATGCCTTTCACCATCTTTCAAGTATACGCTATGGTCTTATCTATCTGCTTTTCCGGTATCCGGACTGTTGGTGGTCTGCATATAAGCTTACCCTTATATGAGCTCTGGGGAGATCTGATGAGTGGATGACTTTCCCGGTGATCTTTATCTAGGTGGGCATTGTCTATATTTCCTCGCGTTATGCCAGGCAGGAGGGTGTTTGCGGTGGTGTTTGTGCCGGAAGCTTCGGGGGGTTTCTCGTGATTATGCCGACCGTTGACTGGTGAATGGTCACCAGCGGCACCCGTTTCTTCTTCAATGTTTCCTGCTTATTCTATAGTCATATTGTGCAAATACTGGGGAGCTACTCTGGGTCATTCTTGATGTCATCTTTCCGTTTATGCCTTTCCCTGTCCCTGTGGCGGCAGTTGTATAATGTACATATTCGATTTGGCCATTGCAATAAAAGTAGTCTTGGATAAGTGGACGCTGGTCCCTCAACTGTATCATAAGCATAGCCTGCCATTCAAGGCTCTTGTCTTTTCAAAACGCCACCGGCTGCCCGAACCAAAACCGTCCGTCCGTAATATACACAAAGATCATCACACCAATGGCCACTGCCTCATATCACACCAAGGTATACCGGTCAAAAACACCTCTAGATCAGATCAACACATGGCCAAACACATGGAAGAGAAGTGGTCCGCCTAAATCCAACCACTCCCAACCAGCACGGATATCAACGAAGAAGAATATATGGCAGCAAATCACAGCGAAAGCATCTTCTTCTGCTCGGTGCCCACGCGACGGGTGTATGTCCGGCTAACGGTGTTCCAGAAGGCGATGTACTTCTCCATGCAGTCGGTCAGGCAGGCCTGTTCGCCGGCGGACATGGTCGTTCCGGGAGTGGGAACGCAGGCTTCGAAGCAGTGTTCGTTGACGTTCTAGATGGCAGATAGAATGGTCAGCGCAATCTTGAATGAAATTTCCTGAAGAAGGATGAAGTAACGTACGGTGATCAGAGTGCGGGCGTTGCTCATGGCGGATTCGGCCTGGACTTGCTTGAAAAGGGCCTCCTTGACTTCCTTGCTGGAGGCGTCGGTGGAGGGGGAAGAAGAGCCGCCGAAGATACCCATTGTGAATTTACTTGTGTAAGTGTGCGTATAGAGTGATTAAGGTCGTGGTTGTGGGAGAATGCAGTGGTAAATGGATGCAGTAGTATGCCAGTATAGCAGTGATGAGACAAGATCTTTTGAGCTCCGACGGAGGTGTGGCTGGTGTGCCACAGGAAAGGAAAGTAAGGTTGCTGCGCCACCGCCCGGCGATGTGGACACTTGGAGTTCTACACTTCCCATCGCTAGCTGGTTATTATACTCGGCTTGCTTCTCTTGCGTCGATCTCTGATCTGTCCCCTCCTCTTCTTCCTCTCCGCTTCTTCTTCTTTGATCTAAGTTCCCGGTGTTCGTTCTTTCATTTATCCTCCTCCACACCTCCATTTCCCGGATCTACTCTTCTATTTACTCAATTGAAACCCCCCGCTCACCCTTGGTTTTGTTGATGTCCCGGTGACAATTGACTTATATCGCCCGATCTATTAGCTGCAGTCTATCTTTCACGCCAACACTTATCTTTCTTGCACGGTCGCTTGGCTTAAGCCTTACATAAAGGTCTACTGTGCGCTTGTTACTCGTCAATCATGCTACTTCCGCGGCTTTCGTCCCTTTTGTGCTGGGCTGGCTTGGCCAGCGTGCCTCTGGCCAGCGCCTACGATGGTGATGACAATGTCAAGAGCATTCCGGTGTGTATGCTGCTGTCATAGGCTATAGGATGGTCTGCTAACTGGTCTCGGGATAGCTTCGCACGCACAGTCTTTCACCGGTGGGTCGCTTATAGCTGCAGCTATGCTTGCGCATCATGTTAATGTCATTTCGCAGCCATACTTGGATTCCGACTTCCAAAGCCGCTGGTTCGATTTTGGTGGTGACACGATAATTCGCGCCGACAAGTATGTTCGCCTGTCTCGTGGTTAGATGGGAGTGAGCTTATGCTGAACAACATCTTAGATACATCCGTCTTACGTCCGATCGCCCGTCGCAGCAGGGATGGATCTTTTCTCGTGTGCCTCTGACCGCGACAAACTGGGAGGTTAGTTGATACGCTTTCTGAGGGTTCGGGGCAGTTCTGATATGTGCAGATCGAGGTTGAATTCAAGATCGAAGGGTCCGGCAACTTGCACGGCGATGGCTTCGCCATGTGGCTCACCAAGCAGCGCGCCACCCAGGGCCCTGTCTTCGGTTCGACGGATAACTTTGAGGGTCTGGGTATCTTCTTTGACACGTACAAGAACAACCGTCCCGGCACTTCGTTCCCCTACGTCATGGCCATGATGGGCGATGGCCAGACTACCTACGACCAGGCTCACGATGGAAAGGCCAATGAACTGGCGGGCTGTTCTGTAAGTATAGTGTGTAGAGGTGCTATGAATGTTGATCTGACTATTGCTATAGGCTCGTGGTCTCCGTGGTGCCTCCATCCCTACCAAGGCCCGCTTGACTTACTTCCAGGACAAGTCCTTGACCCTGGACCTGCAGTACAAGTCCGAGGACAGCTGGATTCCCTGCTTCGAGCTGACTGCCCCCGAGTACAACATCGCTATTCCCTCCGTTGCCTACCTGGGCTTCTCTGCCGAGACTGGTGAGCTCAGCGATAACCATGACATCATCTCCGTCAAGGCCCAGAACCTGTACAGCGTTGGTGGCGGCAGCAGTGGCAGCTCTTCCCGCTCGGGCAAGGGCCGTGACACTGGCCGTGTCAAGCGCCGTAAGCAGAAGGGCAGCTGGGGATGGTTCTTGTTCAAGACTGTTCTGTTCTTTGCTGTGGTTGTGGGAGGTTATGTCGGGTACACTGCGTACCGCACCAAGCACCGCTACTCGCGGTTCTAGATGTGGCAGAATGTGGAGACAGAGAGAAACAGAAACAGAAACAGAACAGGAAATGTGTCATTTATCCTTGCATAGCCGTGTCGCGTTATATCAGTTGTATCTATCTATGAGCTTGCTTCCTTGCAACGCGAAAAGTTGACGACCAACCAGTAAACTAAATGCATAGTAGGGGTATCATAAACAACAGACAGAACATCAAGAGCGTATCTACTTCCCCCTCTTCCTCTCCTCATTCCACATCTGATCCACAATCTGAAATACCTCCGTCACACTCTTCAACACCCGCTCATCAATCCCCAACTTCCCATACCGATGCTGGATCTTGTCCGGATGCCACCGCACCCTCTCCGTCTTCAAAAGCCCCAGCAACCCATCTCCACCTCCATCCTTATCCTCATCATCAACAACCCTCGCGCACTCCCTCATAAACTCCTCCACTCCCTCCCTCCCCACATCCCTCCTCTCCCCACTCTCAACCGGCCAAAACACCATCTTCTCAAACCTCCCCTTACCCCCTTCCTCCTCATCCCCCCTACCCAGCCCATCCAACTCCTCCCAACAAGCACAATATTTCCCCCAAACCCCCCTCCACCCCCGCCTCCTCTTCCTCTCCCTTCCCCTCCTCGAACTCTCCTCCACCGCCCTCTCCCACTCCCCCCTCTCCCTCTCCCTCCTCCTTTCCTTCTCTTTCACCCTCCTCCTCTCCTCCCGTATCCTCTCCTCCTCAGCAAGCATCCCCTCTCTCGTCCGTTCCCACATCTTCCGTCTCACGTACGCAGCGTACTCCTCCTCGTCCATCATCTCCAGCTCGCCATTCGGACCCTTGGGTACTTCCGGCACCGAGTACGTGTGGATGGGTTGACCGTACACGGACTCCCAGTATGCGGCGCCTTCGTCGTCCCCGAGCGCGTCGAACAGAGATTCGCGGAAGGCGGTGGTGGGGGAGAACCGCGTTGTGGAGGGGTCAGCGTCTGGTGGTGGGGTGGTGTGTTTGCGGCGGTGGGGGGCGCGGTGTTTTTTACGTTTGGGGGAGGGAGTGCGGTGTCGGTCTCGTGGTCGGTCATTGGAGTGGTGGCGATGGCGTTTTCGGGAGGGGTCTTTGAAGCGGAATTTTGAGGGGCGGGGGTGGGTGGTTTCGTTGGTGGTGGTGTCTGGTGGAGGTGAGGTTGTGGTTGTGTCGGGCGGATGTGGTTGTGGTGGTGGTGAGGTGGTCATATTGAAGGGTGTTGTGGGGTTGTGGTGCTGAATATATGTGCGTTAGAGCATTGCGATAGCTGTAGATATGGTATGGTGTTGATTAGGAGTGTAGGATGGTGAATGTGAGATGGATGTAGATGGTGGAGAGAAAGTGATTAGAAGGAGAAACATTTCGAGGGATTTGAGTAAGCTAATCTTATCTTATCTGATCTGGAATATCTGAATAACGTTGATGATGTCATTGCTCTCGACACTGCTTTCCTATTCATAGCACTGTTGTTGTTACTAAATAGCCACTAGAGAGACTAATGCCCCAATAGCTTCTTCTACCTATCATATTAAGTTTCAAACCACGTTGAGAGTGGCATCATATCTACTACACCGAACACACCATCCCAATACCCTGCATAGCTTACTAATATCATACATAACTCATCCGGAATCTCGCCCCAACCCGAGAGATATCACT